AAAGACTTCGTGAAAACATTAGGAGAAAAAGGCCCCAGTTGTGGAATGATGAATGGCTGTTGTACCAAGACAATGAACCCGCTCACACGACCCTATCTGCAAAGTAGTTTCTGACTAGCAAAGACAGTACTGTGAAGGGGCATCCTCCTTATTCACATGACTTGGCTCCATGCGATTTTTTTTGTCCCTCAGCTGAAGAGGTTCAGGCAAAAACGAAGAATCTCTCGAAGGGCCTTCCAAAACCTCATTTCAAAACTATTACCAGCAATGGCAGCACCGAATGCAGAAGTGTTTGAATGCTGAAGGGAACTACTTTGAAGGTGATAATGTCATGGAGAACTGATTCTGCAACTACAATGATTTATTAGATCAGTCTCGGTTTTTTGGGTCACACCTTGTATTCTTGCTTAAGGATAAAACAATTCATTAAAGAACTTTGGTCTTCACAATAACAGATAGACGAAAAAAAAATTTCCTGAATGAATATATATTTTTTAAATTTATAAACTAAGTTAAGAATTTTGGAAGATTTTGAATAACTTTTTAGTTTTCTTAATTTGGTCGAACAGTTGCTAAACAATGATAAATTTTTAAGTCAAATGATTTTGTCCTTCACAGATAGAAGGTGCATGATTTTAAGTGATGCTGAGATTCTCTCTGAAGACTAAACAATAACTTAAAGGCTTTGAATACAAATTTACGCTAACGGATTACCAAAAGACTTTAAAAACAGATGTCGTCACAAATATTTCTTTGGTTCTGTGATTAGAAAGAATAATCTTTCTACATTCAGAGATACTGGTTTTTAATCTTTATCTTTTCCCCATGTTTTATAGAATAAATCGTATAAACAACATATGCTAAATATTTATTTTAATTAAACGGTTTCAGTTAAATGTTACCCAGTGTCAAAAAGTGCTCGTTTAGGTATCATATGGCTTGATCATATGAGATTCAAAATAAAATCACGGGGCGAATTATACGAAAATTCAAAGAAAAAGCTAAAATGGCGCTAGTGAGAATGACCGCATCTAATTCGCTTAAATTTATCGTTGAAAATTTTGATTCAAAATCTTTTCTTGTTAGCAAACTCGCGAATTTATTTTCTGCTTGATATAATCAAGAGTATTATTATACGGAAAAATAATTTTTTGCTTTTCTGGGTCTTTATCTAAAAAAGCATAAAATTGTACACATTTATCTATACATTTTATGTGATAAACCAAAGTAAGAAATTCGAATTAAGAAAAATAAAGAGTTTAACGATGGATATATTGTTCAGGTATAGAGTTGAAACGAAATTATTTGTAATCTATAAATTATTAATTTTGCTTACAAAATCTTACGAGGCCTAGCGAAAAATTTCCGGAGACTTACATCTTTAAAGAAAAATATATTCGCTATTTTTAGAATTGCTTGAAGTTTAATAAAAATGCTATAAAAGTTATAAACGACCAAGAAAACGAACACGGAGGTAATACTTCACAGCTGTTTTTCCTATTTATTGATTTTGTTTGAGCCCAAATAAAAGAACTGATACTTTTAGGTACGTATATTTTTAATATCAGAAAAGCTCAAATTGTTATATTGTTAAACAGAAACTAAGCTGCTTTGTATCTTTTAGTTAAAATTTAAAAATAAAAATGGTAGTCGAGTCTTTGTAATCTTAAAAGTATAAAAAATACTCGACAGCTGAAAGTGCTTATTTCTTTCCGTGGAAAAATATTAACCAAATCAAATAAGAGGTTATTTTAGCTTTCTTACCATTTATTTCTTCTGATTTCAGCTTTCATGTTCAAATTCCTTTAATATTTTAATTTGATCTAACATGATATAAAATTCTGATTTTTGCTCTAGTGAATACGAATTGATTATGATTATGAATCAGTTATTAATTTATGTTTCTCTGACGTGTATTTGAATTATTACTACTTTTCTAAAACTTGTTGAAAGAAATAACCTTCTGTTTAGTATATATTTAAAATATAAATATTTTTTAGAAAATGAGTGCATAAATATAGACCCTCAATTATAAATGTTTAATATCTCAGTTGAGGGCAGTTGAAAACATTGCAGAGTTTTAGTAAAGTGAATGTGAGAAAGTCTTTAATTACAAGTCGTTTAGCATTAATAAAAACTCCCATTGCTCACTAGAGGTAGCAAAACTATAATAAAACGAAAAACTGTGCAAAGGTTTTATAAAAAACGTATTGAGTGGATTGTAGCTCTTAGGGAAGTAGAACTGTTAATTAAATCTAGCTTAATTAGTGGCATGTTTGGATTTTATAAGTTGCATACTGATGCTATTTTATTTTTTTGACAATTTAGTGTATTTTAGCATTAATATTTACTTATTTTATACTGGCAGTGTCTCTCTCTCTCTCTAAATATATATATATGTGTGTGTTTAAAGTATTATTATATTTCTCTGTGTTCGCTCTCGGTGGTGTAAGTGGTTAATCATGACTGATTAGCAAATAGAAGTGCATAACTCAAATCGAAACGAGCGTCTAGATGATTTCTGAAATTTCCTGCGTCGATAAAAATTTAACTTCTCTGTGCATGTATAGTTCACCCTCCAACTTTCAGTATGGAAATTTTGCAAAGATTACAGTGAAGTCACCGAATAATTATTGGTAGCTTTTATTACTTCCGTATATCGCTTTTTTACCATAGAGTCTGCTTGTGAAAGTACACCTTCTTATAAATCCAAGCTGTTACATGAAGCTTGCCCTTTATTTTCTGTAATGAGATAATATGTTAAAGGATACATCTCGAGAGTAGTTAAGAAGATAATGACCGAAGTAAAGAGTACTCCAATGGATGGCTTAGGCATACAAGAAGTTCTGGAAATATGTCAAGAGATGTAGCACTCAAAATTTTAAAAGGAATGGAGATAGATAGCTAAAGAGTAGAGTCTGTATTTCCTTCAAAAAGCATCGTTTCTTTTGAATTTAATCCTAAAACATTGTAGACGGATGTATATATTTAACATGCTTGTTTATATGCAATTAACATGCATTTAAAAACATATTATGTCATTTTAATACAGTTGCGTAATTACATTCGAAATATGCTTCTCTTACTTCAAATGTTACAACCAGCTGTGTGGAGAAGAACGGAAGTCAGCGGAAGGTTTAAACAACATTTTCCATGAAAAATGCAAGATACCCAAAAGTTTTGTAAAATTCCTGATGCAGGATTTATTTATATAATGCCGAGATAAATAATCCATTTGATTATTTAATGTTTTTCTCTTTTTCCTTTAGAGATTAATTGTTTTCCTTTCCAAAATGAATCTAAAGATTCAACAATCTACTTGAATACTGCTTACCGTTGCGACATGGACTACTGTGCGCATGCTCCCATATTTTAAGCATTTGCACAAACATCCAAATATACAATGAGAAGTAAATTTTTAAACACACATTTTACACATGAATGATGTTTATTATCTATTACATAGGTTTTATATTTATTATTTTATTCTATTTTTCTATTTTCTTATTTTAGTGAGCCCATTATTATTCATAAGTAACCGATGTATGTATTTTAAAATTGGCGGTAACGTATGAAAATTATTAATTGTTTTCCAAGTAAACATAGAGTAACATCTGACAAATAACGTATATATTTAACTAGAAATTTAACTTTCAAATCCATGAACTGTTTGAGAACTGTAGTACTGGACATTCAATATTTGTGACTAAATATTTTAGTCAAATGTTAACACAGACCGAAAATCTAGGCGTACTAAGTTCATATTTCAAATTTAAATTCAGAAAAACAAAATTTTGCTATCCTCGGAAAACTGAAGATTTATACATCTTTTCCAACCTGCCGCCTTAATCGCCTATCATTCGTTATTTCTCGTAAAAGAAGCCATTACTTGTAATAAATCACTTCTGACTGGTGTAGTTCATATATTAGTCCCATACGAAACAAATGTTCCTAAGGAAATTCCTTCAGGAAATGTGTGTTTTGCGAGTAGATATAAACTACGAGTGATGGGAATAATTAAAATTTCACAAATGTGAGTTCTATAAGCTTACATAGAAAATATCGCATTTTAGCCTCTAGACTGTGCAATAAACAAAGTTTTGTGTACGAAATATATAACAAAGTCATTAATAACAATATTTGAAAATACTCTATACTTTTAATTTTAAGTGTTAAAATTCTAAGAAAATTCATCACAGCCTGAATTAATGTAAAAGATCTGTGATGCACCAGAACTTGTAGAATTGTTTTATTTTACATTCGTAATATGCATATATATTAATATTTGGATCATTAAAGTAATACATTTCACGAAGTTTCCTTTAGTAAATGAGACAGTTGTGATCCAAATATGTAGTGTTGAAATATTATGAAGTATTTCGAACGAAATATTTCAGCTTTATTAATCGATTAATCTTGGAAAATAGTGCGTTGGAGGTGGTAAAACTTTTCTCTTGTTGGGATGGTAACCAGCAAGAGAAAGTTTTCAAAACCGATGAGATAGCGATATGTATGCGTTTCAGAACTGTATATACATATACTTGTATTGATCGTATTGCATTGATAAGATACCATTTATGATTTTCTAGTTACATTTACACTGCCACTCGTTTTTAATAGTAACGTAGCATATAATTATTAATCTTTGGTCTATCAATTCATAATTTATAAAAGGATTCAAAATACAAATGCATTACAGTACTTGTAATTTTTGGTTTAAGTATTATTTTATTTATAACTTTCTTTTGATTACTATATAAAATAGTAAATAGCATTTTTTTGATAAAACACTTTCAAAAATTTCCCACAGCTTCAAAAATGTAATATTTAAATTTAATATTTATTCTAAAGAGACACGGTAAAGATGATAACATAGTAATGACGTAGTAATAACTCAGTTATTAATAAACTTTTACAGAATATTTCCTAACGAATTTAAAATTTTAGACGAAGACGTCAAGTGAAGAAATACTGAAAATATAAAAGACATAAGCATAAAATCAAATGTTTTTCATCATTGCTTCTTTATTACTATAAATAACAATTTTTACATCAAGTGAATTTTGAAACTGGAAATACAGAATGAAGACATGTGTTTCCAATGATAGAAGCACATACCCAGAATTAAAAAAACTAACAATCGCATATAATATTCATACAAACAGATATGTACGTAATGCACAGCACGAATAAATCAAAATTTAATTTCAAAAATAACAGGTGGCAAATTTACAGCCAAACATGTTTTGTACAAACGTTATTCATGATCGTATTTTAAGCAGCGTCACTAAGGTATGTCATCAAAAATAAAGCTATGATATTCCGACCAGCCATCAAAATTGTTGTAATATAAACCAAGATAATTAGCGTCCCATTTATGATATAATCGCATGTGCTTTGCTTTTGATTGTCTAAGAAAGCTAGATCCAAATAGAATTTGCTGACCGGAGGCTCCATTTCAGACACTGATACAGATATCTCAGCCTTTTAACAGTTGTTACAACAAATGAATGCCTGTAAAAAGAGAATTTAATTTTAATTAAGTAACATGATTTCTTTAAATTATCTGTCTCTTAAGAAACATAAAACATGAAAATACTTATAACATGGAAATAAAACATGATAAATACATAAATGTGCTCACATATCTATATCTGCCTCTTACTCTGTCTTTGTAAATATGCATGTTACTCTTTTCCTTTATTTGTGTATAAATAAAGTGATATAATACAAAAAATAGAATTGTCTAGCAGAAAGTTTAAATAAAAGAAATGAATCTTAAATGTGGAAAATAAAGCTAAAAAAAAGCGTAAATCAATATATAAGCAAAATTAATGAAACATAATTCACATAAAATTAAGAATTAAATAACAGTTGACAACGCCTTAGTCTTTTTCCAAAAGCAGACGAAAAAATTATCAACAGAGTTACATTTGTAAATCATATCTGGATTAACTAGAAAGTAGTACAAAGAATCCTTTAAATTAAAATAAAAGAAAAAAGAATACGAAAGCTTAAGCATTAAAAGTTAAAAAGATTAAATTAAAAAAAATGCTTTACTTTAAAACTTATTATAAAGCTTGCAAAATAACCAAGATAAAACCGATGTGACTCTAAATTAGATATACAATATAAAAGCAGACAAAAAAGTAAAAAAAAAAATTCTTAATAAGATAACTATATGCAAATTACTAGTTTTTGAAAATGCCTAGATTTCAAATTAATTAATGTGAGAATCGTGCCTCAACGAAGCACCAGATGTCGCTATCTATCTCTACTCTGTAGGAACTCTCCAGGTAAACACATCTTCACTTGGTTCGAGAAGTCCGACAGAAGCGGTCTAACAGAACGCTCGCGAAGGAGCTACAACTAGACGCTTACTGGTTACGTGTAGGCGATCAGACTTGGAACTTATCTAAAGTGACCGCACGTAGGTGGTCAGCTGTGACTTTTACATCTCCATCCTGGAACCAGTGTTGATTACTCTCCTAAACATATTTAATCCATTTGTACATACTCATTCCGTTTATCTTTTCTTCTATGAACCAGGAATAAAAAACCTGATACTTTGAATCGTGAGTGTGATCTCTCTTTGATGATAAGACGTCACCCTCACAACTGTGGGTGCTCCAAGCCGGCGAACTTAAAACAGATACTGTGAAAACCTTTCTTTCTTTAAGATAGTGATACTCGTGTTTCGTTTTCAAATGAGTTTCTTAAATAACGGAAACAAGAGTGATTTAAAATTAATTGCCTAAAGAATTGGAGAGAATGTTTCAGAAAATGCTAAAAAAGCTGACATTAGAAAAATTATAGAAAATTCTGATGTCTTCAAAACGAACATTGAATTTGTTCGTGGCTTCGTCAAATCGATCGTCGAGGATCGAACGCCTAAGACAAGTAATGAACACTATCTGTTAGAAATCGAACGTCTTAAATTAGCCCAAATTGAAAAGCAAATTGAGCTAGAAAATCACAATCATTATCGGGTGATAGAAGAAACGCACAGACTAGTGTTGAAAATTTACTGAAAAGTGTTAAAACGCTTACAATCTCTGTTCCTGAGCGGCCAGAGGCATTGCATTTGTTTTTCATTTCATTGGAAAAAGCTTTTGCCACCAAAGAAGTTCCCAAAGACTTACAAGCTGAGATACTAATTAATTTGCTAGGGGTTAAAGCGAATAATGTTTTAAACGTATGCAACTGAAGAAGAATTGTCGAATTACGAAAAACTAAAAGAGTTGTTTTTAGCTGAATTTCAGCCGACACCAAGAGAGATTCTGAACACCTTTAAACATGCTCAACGCGCAGCAAACGAGTCGCATGTTCAATTTGCATCGCGATTGACCGCAGCATTTGAATACTACTGTCAGGTTAGGGAGACACAAAAGGATTTTAAAAAGTTATTTGATTTAATTGTTGCAGATAAATAAATGTATGAAACTTTGGATTTCAAAACGAAAGAATACATAGGTGCTTCGCGAGGGGAGAACATGGTTTAATCCAACACAGTTAGGGCGAGAATGTGATTTATATTTTTCATCCCGGGGAAAATCATTGTCTGAAATACATAACCCTAAAGTTCAGTCTGATGAATCGAAAGTACCAAGTGTTCAAAACCAAAGTATTAAGAATGACTCATTTCGTCGTAGCAAACCTAAAAGCAAACCGGATGTAATTTCGTCGACGCCAGAGAGATCATGTTACGTCTGCGGGGAAAGTTGCGAAAATTTTCATTTCGCTAGGGATTGCGTAAAACGTAAACAAAGCGAATCGCATAAGGAAACAGAAAGAAAAAACAAAACAAGTGTTAATAATGTCAGTTTTATTCACGAGTTGCAATATGCTAATATTTTCGTAGAAAATAAAAAAATAAAAGCACTTATCGATTCAAGCGCTCAAGTTCCGGTCATAAATTCATCATTCAATTCATTCAAATAAAATCACCGCTGGACGGTAAAATAATACTTAGCTCATGTTTTGACGAAAAAAAAAAGAGGCAAATATCGCTAGAGTAGGATTATCTTTAAATAGCAATTCACCAAGGTTAGAAATCATTGTTGCAGCCGTAAATAAATTATCTGTTCCTTTAATTTTAACACCAAATATTTATTCTCAACTTCTAAAAGTAAGTCGGGAAGAAAAAAATGAAACATCTAATCCTGATACCGAAAATGATTTTAAAAGTGAATCATCATTACAAGAGTGTTTTTATTAAATTTTGCAAATGTGATTGACGAATGTGATGTGGATTTCTTGCATATTACTGATGTGAACATTCGTAAGGATTTATCGTTATTGATTCATAATTATAAACCAAATAAAACTAAAGACACGAATTTAAAAAGGAAATATTGTGTTAAAAGATGATATTTCAGTATCGCAACGGTCTCGGAGATTACCGTTTGCTGAGCAAAAAATTGTTGATAAACAGATAGACGAGTGGTTGCAAAAGGGGATAATTAAACCATCTTGTTCCGAATACGCATCTCCAATTCTGTTATGTAAGAAACGTAATAAAACACTTAGATTATGCGTAGACTTCAGACAGTTAAATAAAATAGTAGTGAAAGATTCTTTTCCTATGGACAGGCAGAGGAAGTACTTGATCATTTGGGGAAAGCGAAAGTTTTTTCAACTTTGGATTTGAAAAATGGTTTTTTCCACGTTCCAGTCGATGAAAGATGTACCAAATATTTAGCATTCATTTGTCATGCAGGTTTATTTGAATTTTTAAGAGCACCGTTTGGTTTGACCACAAGTCCTAGTGTATTTTTAAGATTTATCTATAATGTATTCAGGGAATTAATAAGGGATAATACAGTTGCAATTTACATGGATGATTTTATCATACCTTCCCGTGACGAAAAAGAGGGATTAGAAAAACTTAAACGAGTTTTAAAAGTAGCTTCAGAATATGAACTAGAAATTAATTTTAAAAAATGTGAAATTCCTTAAAAGAAAAATTGAATTTCTCGGTTATTTAATTGAAGAAGGTACAATTCGTCTATCCCCAAATAAGACTCTTGCAGTTAAAAATATTCGTCAACCTAAGAACGTTAAGCAATTGCAAAGCTTCCTAGGTCTCGCAGGCTGTTTTAGAAAATTTGTACCTGGTTATTCGAAAATAGCCAAACCATTGAGTGATATGCTTCGCAATGGTGTAAAATTTGAATTTGGGCCAAGATAGAAACAGGCATTTGACCACCTTAAAGGACTTTTGAGCAAAAGTCCTGTACTTAACATCTTTCAGCAGGGAAAACCTTTGAAATTACACACGGATGCTAGTAGTCATGGTTTCGGTGCAGTTTTGCTTCAACGCTCAGATGATGGACAGCTGCATCCAATCCATTACATGAGCAAGAAAACATCACCTCAACAAGAAAAAATGTCAAGTTATGAACTCGAAGTGCTTAGCGATCGTCGAAGCCTTGAAAAAAATTTCGAAGTTATCTCTTAGGCACAAAAATAAAAATAGTCACAGACTGCGATGGATTTCAGAAGACAATGCAGAAAAAAGATCTGACACCAAAGATAGCTAGATGGGCACTGCTACTCGAAGAGTTCGAATGTGAAGTTATCCACAGACCCAATCAACAGATGAGACATGTCGACGCATTAAGTACGCATGCTGTGTGCATGGTCACTCGTTCGCAAAGTAAAATCACTACTAAAATCGCAACAACGCAACAGGCTGATGAGCGTCTTCAATTATTGAAAACTCTGGTCGAGAAAGGACTTAGAGATGACTATCTGCTAAAAGATAATGTGTTGTATCTGCAGGAGAGAGGTCGAGAACTCCTCGTTGTGCCGGAAGCGATGGAATTCGAGATCATCCGTGGCGTACATAACAAAGGACACTTTGCTGTACAAAAGACAGAAGATCTGTTGAAAAGAGATTTTCATATTTCGAATGCTACAAAGAAAATAGAGCACGTTATAATGAACTGTGTCGAGTGCATCCTCTGTAATAAAAAGCGAGGCAAAGCAGAAGGTCTATTGAACCCAATCCCAAAGGACAATATTCCGTTAAGCACATATCACATAGATTTTGTAGGACCCCTGACATCTACAGATAAGAGATACCGACATATATTTACAGTGGTAGATGCTTTTACAAAATTTGTCTGGTTTTACCCAGTCAAGACAACATCAACGGCAGAAGCTGTACAGAAACTAAAAAATTCCAACAAGCTGTCTTCGGAAATCCTTCAAGAATTATCTCTGACAAGGGATCTGCTTTCACTTTAAAGGACTTTGAGGAATACTGTAAGATGAAGGAATTCAGCATATACAAATCACAACAGGCGTTCCAAGAGCCAACGGCCAGATCGAAAGAATTCATGGAACCCTTATCCCAGTGCTTGCAAAACTGTCAGTATATGATCCTGCCAAATGGTTCAAATTTGTGCCTGACGTCCAAAGAATCATCAACAGCACCGTCAGTAGATCAACGAAATTCACTCCTTTCGAGCTGATGACAGGCGTGAAAATGAGAAATAAGGCAGACCAAA